AAGAATGAAGACGCCCATATCGGTACATTTGTAATGTACATTATCTAATGTAAAGCGTGGTTTGATTTCTTTCGATGCAAAACAAACGCAGTAATAAACTGGTAAACCCTCCTGGTGGTACTCACCCGTTTATCATGATTTATTGTTGGTCATTGAGACCAACAATAATTCTTTTATATAGGTTTCATCGTGATCATGTGAATTTATGAAGTTTCATTCCTCCTAGCCCACCATTGTTTGTCCTTCTCCACTCACCGCTTTGATCGAGACCCTACAGGACTCCCTTGTTGCTTTTCATTGTCAAAGTCAAGTCAAAGTCAAAACTTTCTTTATTCATCTTAATGAATGGATTTTCAGCTCTTTGCACATCAAGATCATTCATCATCGCATACAGTCACAGAGAAAAAGTAAAATACAGCATCGTAAATTCACGAGGAGTGTGGCATAAAAGTTTAAAAATGGATAGCATTTACGTAGGAATTTCAAAGGTTTTCTCTAACGAATGCTTTTTGTGACAGAAATCTCGAAAGATATGGGATAACGGTCAAACGGTAGGCAGTGGTACGACTAAACATCTAGTTACAAAAATGGATACACATTGTTTAAGTTCTATGTGTAATGGGTCAGTGATCTGATAGAATATTGTTGCTGAAGTTTTCGCAAGAGGTAAAATGTTTGTCGTTGATAAAGTTAAGCAAATGCGAATAGGGAATACCGCTTGTACGCGAAATAATTTTAATAAACTGGCGTAGTATTGTGTGATCTTTAACTCTCAGAACGGAAAACAAAACTAGGAGTAGTAGAGAAAATGAGTAACAACATAGGAATATACAATTCGGGTGAGTAAATACAGTGGAACTTTTAAAGATCACCAGCGGGAAGTAAAGAAACAATCGTCGAATCTTTTTGAAAGTAGAGTATAAATGTGAAGCCCAGGTGAGATCTTGGCAGATAGGAACATCGAGGTATTTCAGAGAATGTACTGGGGTAACAGGCTGGTTGTCAACATAGAACACAGAACAATTACTTTCAAAAGCATTTAGACGTTCTCCTTTGGTAAGTGAGAAGGTGACATCCATACATTTAAAGACCTTGAGGGATAATATGAAAAACGAAGACAATAAGCCAAAGGCAGATAAACTGGTTTGAAGCTGTGAGAAGCGGAAATCACCTAGGATTTGGAACCTATGGTGACATCATCAGCATACTTGATAAGCGTATCATCTGGATCAATGGGTAGGTTTCAAATATAGAAAGAGAAAAGAAATGGTAACAGTATTTCTCTCTGAAGCACCCCTGAATAAACTGATATAAACGTCAGACATTTTTCCAAGAAACTTCGTGAAGTGTGTTATACGAGTAAAATAGTCTTGGAGTAGAGAAAGGGTAGTATGGGACAACCCAGCACCTTGGAGTCGAGGAAACATACCAAATACTGTGCCTGATTTTTGTGATAAGCGAACTGACTGCGTTAGGATTAATATTACAAAGTGTAAACCTTTCAAAAATGTTTAGTAAAACAGAAGTGCAGACGATTAATCCAAATTTCCCAGCTTCCATTTTGGGGACTGGTTTGATGCACACAGGTCTCCAACAGTCCAAGCAACGGTTGAAAATACCGGCAAATGGCTCAGCCAGATAATACGCCCATTGCCTGAGGACATGACATAGTCCGTCGGGACCGGAAGCTTTAGATGCTTTGAGGCACATTATCTGTGCCTGCACCTGATTAGAATTCACACGCAAAACTTCACGACAGCCAACTGATTGGAAATAAGATTCCGATACTTCCCTGTGAGTTGACGTGGAAAACATGCAGTTGAGAAAAGCTGCTGTGGATCGAGGCCCGCGTAGTTCGACTTTTGTTCCACTGAGTTTTTTCTATATTTGCTTGCAATTCCGTTCACCAAGTGGGGTTTCATTGTAAAGTTTGTCAGGATTTTGGATGTCAGTCTTGATCAGCACTGACGTTTGTTTAGCTTGGTCACGATTTTTATATGCCCGTTCTTGGATGCTGCTGAGGGTCTTTAAAGTGGGGGATGAAAATCCTGCTGGGCCGATATATATAGGGGCCATGGGACAGCAGAGGTCAAAGGAGAATATAAGCTAGCTGGTAAGGTGTTAACACTCAATCGAGACACTTGGGTCAAAGAACTGATCAACATTCTTTAAAGATTCCGGTTCGTAGGTAATCATTTAAGCGGAGGGATAAATTTGATTTAAACAAATAAATCCAATGTGCAACATAAACGTTGATAAATTATCCGCTGGTGTACACATGTTGCACGGTTGGACTTCGAATGCCCCGCACCCACTGTTTGACCTCTGTTCACTTGTCATACATTTCTTACACTGTTTTACCAAAGGAGTTTTCGTCGGTACGTTAAACCGGATGATCATTGATAACTGTTTCGTTTAGCCCAGCTTAATCACTCTCTTATCCTTTGCATCTCTGTCATATGTTTGACCTGATCATTGTTCTCTGTCGATCTCGCCTCTTGTGCTTCATATGTGAGTCATTTGACTACTTTTTAATTGGTCACGATTTCCCTAAACCTTCTCTCTGTGTTAGTGTTTATTATTTTTAATTTTGGACCAACAATGATGAGCCCTAGTTCATTTCATTACTAAGACCTTCAAATATAGTTCTCCTTTTTACGTGTGAATTTTGAAAATTTAGATAGATAGATAGACAGATAGGGTAATCTAACTGTGTGAAACTGAATGCTGTCGATGTGGTCTCGTAGCTCAGCTGGTAAGGCGTGCGCTGTACGAAAGCGTAGGTGGTGCTCATGGGTGGGTTTTGATTCCACTCGGGGTGGTGAACGTTTCGCGATTACCACATAAGAATCCGATCTGCTAATCAAAATAATTTGAACGACTGAGGATACCTTAGAAGTTCATTTGGCAAATATCTTTTCTTGTCACTCACTCGTTTGCGAAGTCCGTTAGCTACGCGGGGTGCTCTTCCTTTGCAGGGGTCTGAATACGTGGCCATTTGGTTTACTTCCAAACCCTCCCTTGTTTAAGTGGTCGATACAACCTGTGTTGAAGTCAATTCAAGTCAGGAAACGCCACAGTGTCATACTGTTGATGTATTTTCTGCTTGCATTGCTATTTTCCTTACTTGAAGATTCATCCAGAACCACATTAAAACCAAATCTGAATGATTGTTATCTTTGGGGTCCACTCTGAATCCTATGTGGAACTCTATCAATAGAATCGAGATTTAGCGTTCCTAATGCCCAGTCAGTGGCCGTTACGGAAACATTTCAGCCTCTATGAAATCAATCTATCGACATCTGTTTATAGTTATTTCTTATTTTTATCCATTTTTTTGCTTGAGAACTTTGTAGTGAAGCTTTGATGATCACAATCAGATATCGTATCTCATTTCTGGATATCGAGAGTGATTCAAAACAAATTTAAATACCTTTAAATGGTCAATCTAAGGAGAGTGCTGTGATGGTTGATTAGTATTTCAAACATAACAACCTTCCATGAACAAACATAATCAAATCAAAGAGTTCTGGTGGGTTTATAAATTGTCTGCCGCACGTGAACAGTGCACGCTTGAAAACCAGGCTGGTCTTAGGCCTGGTTGAGGCTGAGTATACCACATTTTCGGCCTTCGACAAAGTCTAGAACACTGGAACTCCTTTCACAAACCCACCATTTCTCAGGAGTTCGACCAGAGCTGCATTAAAGCGCGGAAGTTTGATCATTAGGAAAACAGGATATAGATAGATTGTCGGTGTTTGATCGCCATGGTTGTCAAGGCCACCAGTGGTTGGTAAAACTCGAAGGTGGTGAATGTAATAACTGGCTTGAGAGCATAATTATTATGACTAGGAAACGGGCTGACACCGATCGCGTTAGTTTTCTCGGATGGGGACTTGGGGTGAATGTTATCAATGATTAGAGACAAGAAATGACATACCTGAGTGTCGTAAACAGTGGTGAAACTTCTCATTTTCCTCATTCAACACGAATTCATTCTGACACTGATGCGAATATTCAAAGCTTCCATGTACTAGCCAAGTGACAGCGACCAAAACTATCCTTAAACAAAGCTTGTAGCAGAGGCGTTTCGGGAATGTAGCCAATGGTTCTTTTTGAGTAGATAATTGGGCAAAGAAAATTGGGTCGTGAGCTGAACTGCTACCAAGAGATCCTAAGGATCATAAAATATCAGGACCAATTAGATACAATTCACTGAACTGAGCATTGTTTCGGGTGAATAAATATACACGTTTCAGTAAACCTAGGATAGTAGCGAAGAAGACATGTCTGTATATACATATATGATCGTCGACGGAATCCTCGTTTACTGCCTCAGCCTAACCCACCAGTCAGCGCGATACTAATCATAGTGACCTTCATCTTGTTTCTCAAGTGTTTTCATCAATGTAACTCGGAATGCAGAGAGCTGAAATTCATATGACAGACGCAAAGGCACGGATCGAATTAAACGAGGTGCAGGATAGTGTTTGACACACAGAAGTTGATGGATCGCTCTGAAACGCTCAATCAGGAAAAGCCACTGATAAGTAGTAGGATTATTTAAATCAACAAAGGCACAGCCGAATTGGTAAAGAATAATTTAGTAGGTTTAATAATTTACCTACGCGTTTCCATCCACCTCTGTCAGTCTGTGATCAACAGATATCATTGGGAAGCTCGAAGTCGAAAAATCACATCAAACGGTAACCTGACATCATTAGAGATATTAAATCTAAAATGGATCACCTCTTGTCAAAATCTGGTGTACCTCAAAAGTCTAGCAAGCAACGTCGATTATATTGTCTTGTAACGCTTACAATTATAGTTCTCATTGGTTCCAATACTGATTGATACGGTTAGAACGTGTCATCACATAATCATTTGTTGCGGGTACGATTTGAGTAACTGACCAATAGGATGAACGTCGACTGAAATGCGTAATTTATAAATTGACGCGAAGAACTGACTAAAAGAGACACTGTTAGCTGAAATACATTATGACCCTCTTTAAACTGGCTCTTCAATTCATCCATCGAAAACGAATACGAGTGTTACTTTGTACAGTGATTATTTTTGTGTTTGTCGTATACGGAAAACGCTTCATCAAGAAAGCTTGTAGAGCTTCATTGCCGATAAAATATCAATTGTCAAAGAGCACCAACACGGATTTAGTTCTATCATTTAATGAAACTAAAGAACATTTGTGTGCTATTATAATGTCACCATCACTGAACAGAGTGTTTGCTGATACTCTAGCCAGATTCACTCGTGTAGAGGAACGACCATGGCCACTGAATACCGTTCACGGATGCCATGCATTCAAGCTGCCCACAGGTGAAGAACCCGGGATATCTCAAGAAGAATTGGAATACCCGCTCGCATTCTCGTTCAATATACACACGGAGTTCGCACAATTTGCTCGTCTTCTCAGAGCTGTTTACAGGAAACACAATATCTACTGTATCCATGTGGATGGAAAATCCGAGAAGACATTTAGACAGCAAGTGGAAACATTGGCACAATGTTTTGGTTCCAACATACACATTATTCCCGAGGAACAGAGTTATTCCATCACCTGGGGTGATTTTGGACCGATAGAATCTTGGATTTTGTGCGCCAGACATTTTTTGACGCAATCCACAGTTCGTTGGAAATACATGCTCAATGGGAGTGGTCAAGAATTTCCACTAAGGACTAACTGGGAATTGGTGAAAGCACTGAAGGCTGTAAACGGATCCAACATAATCGAGTTTGACGACTACAAGTTTGTAACAGAACGAGCTCCAAAGGAGCGACCCGCATTAAATGTGAGTTAATGTTATTTCTCCTCGCATATTTGAAGTTACCAGAACTCTTCCTTGAACGAGCTTGCTAAGGGCTTGTATTTTACATGTTCTTGCACCTAGAAGTCCGAAGTGACGGCATAAATGGCCTCATTATCAATCTTATGCAGATAAGCGAGTAAATCCCAAATAAAAAAAATCATTTTTTCCCACAGAAACCCAGGAAACTCAAAACCAGTGGAGAAGGATTAGAGATCTATGAATAACTATAGCATCAGGGATCTATCGTTGTTCTGCAATTGCTGTTTAGAGATATTTGAATTAAGGCTTATACTCTTTACACTACAATACACAAAAATGAATATACTAAAAAATGAACCATATAATCTAATGATGTACTTAAACTTAGAAGGTGAACATTACAGCTTGAATCGGCATGTCGGTTTTGCGTTAAAAGATGAGATTATTGTAAAATGAAGAACAGATCCAAATGGGCAAGTTTTTGCACAGTTGTGTTGTTCTAGGAAAACAATGAGGACTGAAGATTACAAACGTGACACCAGATTAAAGTCAATTGGAAATAGTGACAAAACGCTTGTGTACTTTTGGCTCGATAGAAACGAAAAAAGACAGCATACTATAGGTTCACCCCAACGAAAGCCTTCCATATGTTTGTATTTTGTTTCCGCAAATCAAACCACCTTTAGTCATTTTATTTTTGAAGGGTAAGCCATGTTTCGGTTTTCGGGTAATGAAACGTTTTCAGTATTTTCTAAGTTCAACACGATGAACTGTTGCGCAGAGAATAACTGAAACTCTTGGCTAGGTGTAAACAATGCACTTAACATAATCCGTTATTCAATTTATTCACTACTCAAACGCAACCCACAAAGTATGCATCCTTTATTTGGTATCCTTTTGTTTCATTCATGTAGTTCACTTGGTTCAAAGGAAGCGTGTACACCGCACTCCGACGGGATATGGTACAATTCACACTGACAAACAAGTACGCCGCGGAAGTACTGCGCACACTTCGAACGGAAGGCAAACTAATTCGATTACAAGACGAGTTGTTCTTCACTACACTGAGCGCAAACGCACATTTCAACGCACCAGGTGGCTGCCCAAATCATCGGTCAAATGATTCTGATCCACGGGCATTATTTATTGCTAGGTATGTGGAATGGTATCCAAAGGAATGCGAACGTATCCAACGTTTCCTGTGTATCACGGGAGTGAAACATATACCAAAACTAATCTCCCGGCCGGAGTTTTTTGTCAACAAATTCATCTATGACTTCCAACCGTTAGCCTACGACTGTCTGGAATGGTGGCTGTTGAGGAAAATCAAGCATGAAGGTGAATCTGGCCAAACTGTGATCGATTTTGACCCATCATTCTACAGCAAACTGTATTGTTCTGGTGATCATTTATGACGTATTCCTCTCGAATTAATAACTTCAATGATTGGACTAATGATCTACAGGTACGGTGATACTGTTTGACGTTGATATTAAAGAGCGCACTCAATCGCTGGCAAGAAAACAATGTATATATCAAATGTATTGCATTATTTTACGTCAACTTGATTTCGCGTCATCGGTGCTTCAATCGCGCTCGTATCAGCGGTCTGTATTGGCTGTATGGGATCCTGAAGATATTGCTTGAGACGCAGTGTTCCACAAAGAAACGTCTTTGTTGATCACTCAGTGTTCTTTTTTGATCAACCAGAGGCAATATGAATCGTTGAGTAGCCTCTTATGGTCTATAGATTACTCATGATATGATGAATATCAGTGTGACCTACCCTTCCTGTGAAAATGATATGCAGTCATGATTGGAGCATAAGAGATCGTGGCCCCAAATCCTGTAAACACTTCGAGGATATTGGAATACTGTCAAATCTTCGTGTCTTATGAGAATTTTGGAGGATATGCTTATACTATTCAAATTGTGTAGGATTCACGCGTTGTTTTGTAATGACTTGGGCTGGCATGCATGCCTATTTTATTTAATAAATATATTTTCATCTTGATAATGGGTTAAAATATGAAATTCCCATGTATCCAAATGCGGAAATGTAAATAAAAAGATATATTATCAAGTTGTGATAAAGTTGTACTAAACATTACTCTTCTCAATCAGATTTGGAAGGAACACGCTTGACGACGTACATTTATAACACAGATTTATACGGAATGCTAAGTTGCGAAAAACTGCATGTTTGTGGGTTGGTAACTACAAATGATTAGATTAAGAGTGAACGGATTTCGTAGATAGTCAGAATGATTAAAATCTCAAATCTCCCAGGGGAACCTATGAGGATAAACCATTTATGCGTTTGGAAAAACTCGGGTAAAGAGAAATGCCACCAGTAATTGGTAATCCGTAGAAGAAGATGGGGACAAAAATTATGGAAAGACGTGAGTCAGTTAAGTGCAAAAATAAAAATGTACTGAAAGGCAAAGGGGTGCACATGGAAGACAATCATTCCTCCCCTCGAGGTATTTTCATTTTAAGCTAGATTATGATAATTATATTCTAAAAGTTACCACTATAAAATACTGTTAATATTGGACTAATTGGAATGTATGAACAGTTTAACAGTTGCAGTGAATTTGTTCAAATCTTCATGGTTCTGTACAATTTCGCATGGACCGGCCAACATGAACAGGGTCATTTATATCTGAAAACGGTGAAATTACGCGTGGAATACTTTTGAGACAGATAATACTTCTTGAAGGCAGCAATTGTGCATGTGGACATCAGATGAATAAGCACGAATAACTTAGTACACTTGAAAGATGTGTCGCGATGTTCTCGGAGTAGGAATATGGCACCCGTTTGATTAGAGCCATTTTAGGAATCGTCAAAATCTATTCACCTCTTCTGGGGAAGTTCGTGAGCATTATCTTTTTGCAGATCCCTGTCAGCTTGACAGGAATCATGTGATAATATTAAGATAAGCTTTGGTGCCTATATTGATTCTTTTCATAGCCCTCTCACATTGGGATAGAGGCCGGACAGATTTAAGATATGTCACTAACCATCATTTAATTAACTAATGGTTTTCATACGTATAATAAAGGCTTAAATAAATAGCTAGCTCTTCATATCCTGGCACAGGCATGTTAGTTACTAGCAGTCTACATCCAAAGGTGATTTTTTTCGTCAGCAGATGGGGGGGGGGCGACTGACTGTCGTAGAATGGCGCCCAAAAAGAGATAAAATCTTAAAGGTTCATCCTAAGTTGTCTTAGCTTGGAGATCATGAAGGACAACGGACATTGTTTTGAATAAACGCAAGTTCACGCATGAAAGATGTGGTAACAAATTCCCTGGTGTAGTACTGAACTCGTATGCGTCAGAGGTAGTCTCACGCACGTACTCGGCACACTCAGAAAACACGATAGAAGATACAATAAACAATTGTAATGAATTCAATACATGTGCGATAAAGTTGAACGAATTTATGACTAGGTCAAATGGCGTCTGCGTACCGTCGGTTTGCAATACTGCGGTGCAGAGGGACGTCTAAGATCAAGATATAGTAAAACAAACACGGAAAATGCACTAATAAAAATGGAATAACTGGGAGGTTGTAAGCCGATTCGGAGCACAAAATCGTTCAAGTTGAAATTCCGTCATTTGATAATAATAAAATTAATAATAATATTTTACCAATAAGTTACAAACGCCTTAGGTTGTTTCATTACTGAGAAGTTGCTGCTAAAAATCTGGATGCCTATCTATCTTCTTTTAGAGAAATCAACTAGGGACACAAAAGCCATACGAAGGATAATCAGCTTGTGTTCTCTTTTTCTTGCCCATTAAATTTGCAACTGAACTGCCTAAATCCACTCTGGTTAGCCACAAATCATCGGCCTTAAAAACTATTAAATACCGGTGATGCACGGGGTTGGCTTTTGCTCAGCGTTTGATGCAGATGTACTGAGTCTACTTATTTACCCGAACTTTGAACTGTCATTCCTTTTCATCCTGGTAAACATTATAACTCCATCTTTACGTACTTTATTCAGCTGGGTTCATACAAACATCCCTACACCCGGATGCAATGAACTCGAGATTCTCCTCATTCGGGTACATCCATCGTCCCGCCATGGGATAAAACTCCGGAGTAATGGGGGGGGGGAGTGGTGATCATGTACAATTTAGTTTGTGGTATGTGAGGAGGAATGGAAGAAAGAGCAGTGCACGAATACGGTATTAATTCAAAAGGGTTGTCATCAAAATAGGGGAGTGGGCAAATTGAGAGAACCCTTCTCAAGAAAACCAACATTCTCAGCTCAGAGTGAGACATGATTCAAAGAACTCAATTGATTTTCTGCCGTCGTGGAGATGACCTACTGTCCAGAATAAAAATTACGAGGTTAGGCCAAACTTGAGTAGTTTAACCAGGAGACTTACGTGCCAGACACGATCTACAGTTTTAAGTATATCCAGCGCCAGCATTGAGATTTCCTAATAGTTGTCGAGTGCTGCAATACAGGTATGCAAAATGAGTCCAAGAATATCAGCCGACGATCTGTGAGACTAGTAATCACGCCGACGTTGCTAAGCTAATTCGTTGGCTCCAGGTGAACGTTCGAGATAACTGATGTGAGACATCATTTACGGGAGAGTTGACATTAGGAAATCTCTAAATCGTTTGGGTTTCTGTCATAATTAATGAATGATTGATTAAAGCTTCTAACGGGCACTCTGATGGCGACAAACTGATTGCAATCAAAACATTTTCAATTAGTGAGATTACCAGGATCCGAAAATGTTTACTGTAAGAAAATGATGCCATGCCTGGGAGAAATGATGCGGGCTTTAGTGAGGCTTAATTATATAACGGGACTTGCCGCAAAGGTTAGTGAATGTAGCTTTGAGGCTGAGCACGTCGATTAAGTTTTCTATCGACCTACTATTACGTTCAAACTGCAGTTCGATCCCATGCCACAAACGCTTTTCACCTCCAAACCACAGGATGCTCTCCTGAAAAGAAACCGCTGAACGTCTGATATTTCATTTGATTCTAATAAAGCGCAGTTAGACAGTGGTACTCAGATTTCATTCAAGTACCTGTTTTGTTTGTCTTCCGAGTGTTATTGTATGCGAGGAATGGCCTTAGATGAAAATGTGTCAACCTGCAACTACTACCAAATAACCAGCATTCAAAACAACCTATCTTTGGTAGAATTAGAGCTCCGATGATCGAAAACATTTATATTTCGTTTCTACAGCTAATTCAAACGACACAGTGACTATTTTTGCGGACTGCGGGATCGGCCTGAATGCCGCACCAATACCATACCGAATGCCAAGTGTACTGATCAGTCACGAACAGGAAAATTGAATAATTTTTCCAATATTGCTCCTGATATCTCTTTGCCTTCTCGACAGCCAACGACCACCTGGTTAACACCACAGACAATATGGTCGTGTATCTCTGTTAAATTCGCCGAGCCAATCAATATCCTGCATCATCTGATTATTGTTGACATCTAGTCCGATTGGCTGGAGACAATCTCAGTGAGGCTACCGTAAATTTCCTCAACGAATGTGTGCAAAACATTCGGTAGACCTACCGGATGGCGCTGCGTAGAAGTCATGCCAAACCAAATAACCTATCGCTCAGAGGTACGCATTTAACCAACTGCACATAGCCCACTCAAATCTTGAAGAAATGGGATGCATGACCTCTAGATACAGAACCGCTGTTGGGGAATTGCAGGAATGCTACAGTATAACGTTTTAGCTTCATGCCAGCTCTGTTTACTTCAAGGTCATTGGAGAAGTAAAAGGAAGGTTTCTCAACGGTTACAAATCCAGAGTAACCCCGTCGAAATTCCTGGAGAACTCAGAGGTGTGTGCGCAGAATTTTTCATTTGCTTAACTCAGTAAGTTAAAATCAAGACACGACAGGCTACATTTATATGATACTCGAGCAGAGATTGAGACAGACTTTGAAAATTTGATGAGCCAATTTCATAACTTCATACTCTACTATCAGAACACTTCAGGGAACATTAATCTATCACGGCTTTCCGAGGAAACTCATTTCACCTCTATCCAGTTCCGCCCGTTGTGTCGCGCCTCTTCATTCGACAACTGCACTCATTGTCGTAACTTCCATAACGGGTGCACCAAGAGCAAACTTGGATTAAATGGTGAAAGGAGAGGAGCCCATTGAACAAATCTCAAAGAATTTCATCTGTTTAACACAAAATCTCGAAACCACAGAAAGCTGGAGAAGAATCCGCCGCGGGAGTGATTATGAGGCGTAAGCTACGATCAAATAAAACTGCGATTACTATGGCAGAAATTAGTTCCGATTCGCCATCGGATCAAATATTTTCTCCGAAGACAGTATTGCATGAGGTACACGACCTTCATTCCAGTCATCCCAAGAATACAGGAACCAAGCAGTTCAAACTTTGTGGAGCTACACTGTGCGATGTGAATGTGTGTTGTGACACTTGGACTCGTCAGCAAGCCCTTTTCCGGCTCACATCATACCTCAGCCATGGAGCTTCGACTGGACGATCTGATTACCACATGTGCGACTGCAGTAACGGACCTATACCGGAGGACACGACACTGGACAGATAGAGTGCGGCAATCAACCGTTCAACCGTTTCGAGTAAACCCTTGAAGATAGCAGTGCAAGTAGTTATAATCAAATTTAACCATAGCGTACTATGTTGCAAAAACACGCAACCAAACATAAAGCCATATAATGCATGAATGACACTTTTTATAATGGCATAACTGGAAATACCAATGTCCACAGATAAATTTCACGGTTATTGGGTCGTTCCGTCGGTGATTTCTTTCCCCAAAACTCGTCCTTTAAACGTTCGCTACTGATAGTTTACTAGTAGTCATATAGTTTACTGAGAATCCACATTCCT